TTAAATTTATTCACAAACTTATCAATGATATCATCCATAAAATTTTTATCTTTATATTCCTGTCTATAATTTCTAAATAATGTATTCAACGTATTGAATTTTGAAATGCTACAAGATTTTATAGATACTTCGGTTTGTGATTGTGTCATATATTTTTTAACACATATATACGGGCTGTTTCTGGTGCCTATTTCTTTCAAATTATTTCTCTTAATTGACTGTAAAATGTAATCACTAAGATTGACTTTCACAGCTTCAAAGAAAAATTGTCGTTCGCACTCGCAGGCATTCTTAAATATAGCAATGAAAAATTTTCTGGCAGTTTCTTCGATCATTTTATGCATTTGGGCGGTGAAATATTTTATTTGATGAGTGTAATTATTGATTTTACCACCATTTTTAGTTTCCTAATATATTTCCCAGATTTCAGATATCTAGATATTAGGATGTCGATTTCTTCCTGTATTAATTCGGTCTGATATTCCATTATAAATTTATTTTTAACCTGAATATTCTTCACATTGCAATATGACTTTAAAGATATTTTATTGAAAGATGTTTTATTGTAAATAGTAGCAATTATGTGCTTTTCGCAAATGTTGAGAAAAGTTTGTGGATTAAATTTTCGAAGGATAGTTGTAAATTCTTGAATATTATTCGATTGGTATCTAAATGATAAATCATCAATGATGATGATAACATTACCTAAAAGCTCCTTCATATGGGGTACATGCTCATGATTCTTAATCAGGAAAAATAAGATGTCGATATTGTAATATCTCATGTTTGTTTATAAATTTGTCACGAAGTTGTATTCAGAATTCAACAAATTCTCACTCATGATATCCAAAGAATATTGGATGTTGTCCTTACCCATTGCATATCAAAATTACTAACATTCAGGCTAAGATTTTTAACAAAATGTATGAATGCGTTATCATTATTATTCTTTATCTTATATGAGAATTTGAACTTCGGATCAATGTAAACTGGAACTAAAAGATTGATGAATTCAGATTTTCTTATATTTATTTTGTTGTTGTATTATATTATTTTTGAGCAAAAAAGTCATGAAAGACTCTTTAAATACTAATTTTCAAAATCCGTATGTAACTTTTAAACAAATACAATAGTAGATATTATTTATAGTTAAGAAAAATTAAAGCATCATTTACTGGAAACCAATCTGGTAATTAACCTTTGTTTTATTAATATAGTTTCATGTAAAAATTTTTGAGTTTTAAATTATTTTAAGTCTCCATTTTCAATGTTCATTGTGATCTATTCAAAATAACTATTCAAAATAATATTATTAGTAAGACTCTTTGCACAAATTACTAAATGTTTACATAAATTACATTATTTAGACAATCATCTTTTAACAAGATATGTGTTTTACTATTACCATTGTATGATATAGTTGATTTGAAAATATATTACTAATACTGACTATGTTAATATAAGAATTTTTGTTTCATGGTTAACCATTAGGACCGCATACACATTTCCTTTGAGATATTAAAATTTATCTCTTAACAATTATAGACACATTTTTCACCAAGTATTTCATATATAAATGCGTAAGACCCATTTTTTGTTTTAGCAATATTCATTTTGATAATAACTTTTATATATTTGCTAAATTTTAGAAAACTTTTATGTATAGAATTTCAAGAATATTTTATTTTAAAATTGCCCTTGTTTCAAGAATCATTTAATTAACTCTTCTAAAGTTATATATATTATATATATTCACTCTATGGCTCTTTGCTTGAAGGCTGAATAAATTTATATTTCCAATATCAGTTATCACAGGATTACGTGTACAATACATGAACCTTTGTCAAATAGGTCAAAAGACTATATTTAAAAACTAGTAACAAAGACTTTTATTTCTTTAATATATATAGTCCCATATATAGATGCAATCGTTGAGAAAGTGGGTATTCCTGAAAGAATCTGGAGATATTAATTGTATAGTATTTTCAATTTTTGTGAATAAATTTTACATGTAATTATATGAAACAAAGTAAATGAGTCTAGTCTTAAATATCAAATTCTGTGTGTTTCAATGTAATATTTTTGATTAATAATATAAATAAAATTAAAAAGGAGTTCTTTATTGAGAAAATAGATTAAAATTGGATTCTTTTGTCCAAATAACTTATACGAAAGTTTCTGATTACTAAACATAAATTTTTAAATATGAAAATATTTAAATAAATAAATCAAATATTACATACATCATTTTCTAAATGATTAGCAATGTCTATAAAAAAAACACAACCAAATTTAGACTCAATAGGTGTTTTAATTACACTGTATAACATCATTTTTATCTGGATAGTTACTTATTTTTTCAATGATTTTTCTTTGCCAACCATAACATTTTACGCAGCAAATAAAAAAATATATAAACTATATCCTAAAACCTCTGAGGAACTCAAAAAAACTTCTAGAATTCATAAATAAAATAAAGTGAATATGAAAAGCAAAAAATCCAAAGAATTTTTATTTTTTGAAAGTTTTTTTATTAGAAAAGGCTATGATATTGAAAAAAATCTTGATTCTTGAGATTATATTGGAAAACCTATGACAACCTTCAATACAACCTACAGAATCATCCAATTCTTACAGAATCATGGTTCTTTTGTTCGTTCTAATATTAATGAAAATAATAAATCACGTCAATATCTATTTGGTACACTTATAAGAAATTTTGATGAGATTGGAGATATCTTATTCATAGGATCCGTAATAAAACTAGGTGAAGAAATAAAAGTTCATGATTGCACGTACCTTACTTCTAAAAATAATGAAGATCTAGAATTACCTAATTATAACTACATCATATTTATCGCAGATGATAATAGTTCAACAAAAGATGCCGAAGACTACTGTAAGAATAATGGCATTTATATATTATACGTAAATACATCCAATAACTTGATTTGCATAAATTTCAAAGTTTTACTGAATAAATTTCTAAAGAGCTCTTCAAAAGAAATATTGTAAATTGTTTAAATGATAATTACATTATTTTTGGTGACGGAAGGATTACTTTTATTATTTATTGTTCAAATTTTATTTTAAGAAAAAATGGTGATGATTTTCATTTTTAGCAATACCTAGAAAATGTTTATCCCTTCATAATTTATACTAAATGTGATGAAACTATTAAACAGTATTCTACTAATGAGGAAATTAAAATAATAGACCAGTCCACATTTTTTATTGTATTGAATTTTTAATTGATTTTATAAAAAGATCTAACTTAATACTACAAAAAGTTAAAGAAGATTCAAAAAAAATGAAAATTTCTTTAACATTCAATAAATATAATGACGAAATATTTAAAATTTAACCTAAAAAAACCAACTTTAATCACCATATATTGCTCAAATATTAAATTATTATTATTTTTACAATTTGTTTAAAAAGCATACTGTATTATTATATCAATCGAATTATTGTAATAATGCTGAATTAATAACCCTTTACCTTATATCTAAAGACCAAGAGTGAAAATAAATTAAACCAGTTCAATTCTTGACAAATTCAGATAAAAGAGAGATTGTGAGATTTATTGATAAGGTTCTTGAAAATAGAATATATTCTAAATTGATATTCCAAAAAATTATTTGAAGAAAAATGTTTCAAATATGATAAAAAACTGAACCAATTGTATTGTACAGTTTGTGGGCAAAAAACTTTGAAGAATTGATTTTGTGAAAGTTTTTGAATTTGCACTATATAGAATTTTCAAGCAAAATTTTCGAGAAATCAAATAAAAAATAAAGACCACTTATGTGCATGACAAGATTGTTCTAATAGCTATTTAGTCGAAATACATTACTAATACAATTATGTAAACCTGTGTAAGTACCAATTTCTTTGTTGTTCATTCTCCGATGGCAGCTAAAGGCTATCGAAAAATAAACTGGTTTAAAATAACAAATAGAAAAGTTTAGAATATTTCGGAATACTAAGATTTGAATATTTGGCTATTTGGCAATTTAAGAAATTTTTAATTTTTTTTCATTAATAATTTATAGATTAGGATCATTCTCAATAAATTATGAGTTATTCATTGGAGACACAAACTGTGTTATATAAAAAATTATGTTATATACAAATTACGTTACTGCGCGTGTAAAACAATGTAAATAATCACGTAATAAAGGGCTTTATGTTTATTATATCAATTATGTATTACAAGTTACTCAGCTAAAATAACTATTTTTTTTTAAAATTGTAAGAATACTTATACGCGAAAGTCTATACCGCATTTAGATTTAGTAATATTGCTAAACAAATAAATGGATCTAGTGAGTATAAATTAATATTTGTGGCATGCATAATAAGTCACTTTTATAAATTTATTAATTATCTTAGAAATCTTCACAAATTCTAAATTACTCTACCATTTATAAATGAAAAAAATTTTGTTCAGACTTGTTCTTGTATCAGATTATGTGAAAAGTTATTTATTTAGATATCTATATGCTGAACTGAATATTTAAAGCAATTAAAAAATTTTTACTAAGAGGTTCTTTTTAAATTAGAATTCTATATGCAAAAATTCTAAAAATATTTTCAAATAATGTCAGGCATATTAATTCGGTAATATTAATGTAATATTATAAGAATGAAAAAATAACAAAGTTGCCAATATCATTCGAAAAAAAAAACCAAATTTAGACTCAATAGGCTGTATAACCATTATTTTTGGCATTATCTACCATGTGTATGAGTAAAAGTTACTCAGAAAAATAACTAAATTGTCCTTGTTCAGACTTGTTCTTGTTTCAGATTGTGCAAAAAGTTATTTATTTAGAAATCTCTTGGTTGCTGCAAAAGCCTTTTGTCCGAATGGTTAATTTCTGTAATTCTTACGTGAAACTGCGCTACTATATGGCCACTAATTCGTTATGTGTAATAATGCCTTTTTTGTTTATTATATCAATAATGTATTACAAATTACTTAGCAAAAATAACTATTTTATTTAAAATTGTCCTTGTTTCAAGAACACTTATACGCGAAAAATCTATACTGCCACATTTAGGTTGTTAAACAAATAAATGGAAAGTACGCGTAAAAATTGAATCCAGCAAGTTGAACAAAAAAAATAAGCCTTCTTTATTAACATTCTTTGAACTTTATTGTAAAAGGAATAATTAGAATTTTTCGTGAATATAATAAAAAGTATAAAAAGACACGATACTAGAATCTGCTGAGACTAAACAGAAAATATCTGAAGTTAAACAAAAATGTCTCCAACACAAAATACTCACAAAAAATGCAGTTTCTGTAATAAAAATATAATTACTACACCATTAATAGATATTCATGCAATTTCTTAAATTTTAAACAATAACAAACATGAAATAATTTACGAATATGCAAAATGTTTATGCAACCAATGTCAAATGTTACTTCAAAACTTTTACTTGGTAGATGAAGATCATTTGAATTTGCTGTATTCGATTCAGCATGCATTGCAGTTCACTTACGTGAGTACTTGCAAAATAGTGATTCCCTTTCCTATAGGGCAAAGATGCAAGAATGTAATTGTTTAAAAGGAAAGAAGTTTTGTTTTTGTGATTCTATATTATTGGATTTGGATTTTTGGTATATTCTGAATTTGACTGATACGAGACCAATGTCGAACTCAATTGAAACCACAAGTCAAAATAGAAAGAAAAAAATAAATGTTCAAATTGTTCGAAAAGATATAAACCTGTATATCACGTGTGGACGAA